GAAACGGGCAAGCCACTCGGTGGTCATACTTCCTGCTGTAAAGCAATTCCACAAACTCGCTGTCTGTCTACGCAAGGCAAGGCTTTGGACTCCAAGACTCAAAGATCAGCCCTCGGCAGGCGCTCTAGCTGGGGAGAGGAACGGGAGGCCTGCCATTTCATTGCTCCTGTTGCTCAGCCTTTGTGGCTAAGGTCCTCAAAAGCCACTGTGTGCTGGCTCTAAAGTGAGCTCCAGGCCGAGATGCCAGGCCAGCCCCATGAGCACCAACCATCGGGAGGCAGGACGTGGTTCACCTTTGGGTGTCTGCAGGGAAAGCCACGTCGTGGTGGGAGGGAGTGGTTCCCCCCTTCCTGTAGGCAACAGTCTCTCTAAACAAACCACATATGAAGATTTGGACCTAAAAGAAGGGATCCGGGGACCGTGGCATCTCAGAAACTGTAGGCCCACCTCGTGCCACCAACAGAGCTAAGTGCGGTGAGAGGGCACGTTCCGGGAGCCTCCAGACACATGTGTCGTTTCAGTCTTCTTGCCGCACTATGAGGAGTAAGGGGGGTCGCTGGCAGGGGGGGACCTGAACGTACACTGGTGCCTGTTCCTGGTCGAGATTTCTCACCTGCTGGAGTAGCCCAGGACTCAGGGCCTGAAGACCCTCTGATGTGCTGTGCCCGGGACACCTTGACCCCTTCCCATTCTCTGTGGCCCTCTAAGTGTGTGGCAAGGACCCCAGTGGTTATTCATGGAGGGACAGAGACCATGGACAGCTCCTGGCCTGAGCAATAGGAGACCCCACCTGGGTAAGGTGTGGGAAGAGGCGTGGCACCGTTTCCAGGAGGGGCAGGGCCCACAGACGTGGAGACACGAGTGGCCACACCCACCCCTCCAGGGAGCGGAGGCCACCAGCATGGCACAGGCCCAGGACCGCCATGCGGCCTGTCGCAGGAGCAGAGTATTTGCCTCCAGCCGTCCTCCGGGCCCTGCAGTAAGGCCTGGAGGTCCAACGTGTGCGGAGATGGGGGCAGTTTGCTCTGAGTTTGAGACTGAAGTTTTCAAATGAACAGGACTGAGGCTTACATCCCAAGCCCAAACTGAATTGTAACCAAAAGCCACTGGGAAGCTATGGACTCTGTGGAGCATCCCCCACGACCCAGCAGGGAGGAGAGGCGACAGAACACCGTGGGCAGCAGTTACTGAAGAAAGAAAACCAGTTCACGTTTCCACCCCGAGAGCCTTCTCAGAAGAGGTGGGCAGGGCCATGAGAACAAACAGGACGCAGAGGGAAGAAAGGGGGACCCCAGCCAACTCCCTGTGCTGAGAGAGAGCAGAGTGGGGGAGACCAAAGCAGGGCGGAGCTCCAGAGAGAACCCTAGAAGTGTGCAGGGGGCCCCCTCTAGTATTCCGAAGAGCACTGCCCATGTGAGAAAACCGCCTGAAACTGAGAGGGGGCACCTCAGCCCTCCCCCCCCCCCAACCCCGCACATACACACATGGAAGGGTAGAGGTTCAGCATCATCAACCGCGAGGAAACGCGACATTCCTGTTAGGAAGGCGAAAATAAAAGTGCTGGTCATGGCAGGAGCACCCGGCACGGGCAGACATCGCGGGCTGGACGCCCCCAGCACAGCCGCTCGGAAAAAGCTGTCAAGTGAAACATTCACTTACCATATGAATGAGCTGATCCATCCCTAGGCATCCCGGACACCTCTCTCCACCCAGAAATCCGTACATGAATATTCACAACAGCTCCATTCATAAATGCCCCCCAACAGGCGATGAACAAACAAATGGTGGCACACCCACACAATGGAACCCCACCCAGCAACAAAGAGATGAACGAACCCCAAAGGCGTTGCTCTCCAGTCTCGTATGTTACAGACCACTCTCTGCCACCTAGGACACTCTCCAGAAGACACAACCACAGCGACCAAACCAGTGGTTTCCGAGGGGCAGGGGTGGGATGAGGGCGGGACTGGAAAGCAGAGGTCAGCCAGAGTTTTCTGCAGACGGCCAGACAGTAAATATATTAGGCTGTGTGGGCCACCTATGGTCTCTGTGGCATAGTCTTCATTTTTTATTGTTTTGTTCTTTTTACAACACATTAAAAAATTTAAAAAATGGCCCTTGCCAGTTTGGCTCAGCCGTTAGAGCATCGGCCCACGGTCCAGAGAGACCCGGGTTCGGTTCCCGCTGAGGGTATGTACCTCGGTTGCAGTTTATCCCCGGCCCTGGTTGGGTCGTGTGGGTGGCAGCCACTCGATGTGTCCCTTTCACATCGATGTTTCTCTCGCTCTCTTTCTCTCTCCCCCTCCCACTCTATCGGAACAAAAAGTGGAAAGATGTCCTCGGGTGAGGATAAACACACACACAGACACACACACACATACATAAATGCTTCTTAGCTTCTGGGCCCTAAGAAAACAGGCCACAGGCCAGATTTGACTCAGTGTAGCTTGTGGACCCCTGCTGTGCACGGAGACAAAGAGGGAGTCGGGGGAGTCGGGGGTAGGGTGTGCGATGTAATTGTCCTGCATCCCAACTGTGGTGGTGGTTACACAAACCTACAGAGGTGTCAGAATTCACGATCACACTCACATGTTCCCAACTATACTCCTGGCCCCAACCCGAAGGGAAGAAAAGGGCAGTTTTCCTTTACTAAGCTGTGTTCTCTCGCATCCTGGCTGTTCCCTCTGCCCATCACACCAGGTCTCCTCTGAGCCTACCCTGCCCTTCCCTGCACCGGGCCTGGGCACTCCCCCATAGCTGGCCCTTCCGCCCTGCATTCATTTTCCTGTATCATGATGGCATTTCGTGCCACCTGCCCCACTGGACCCCAGGCACCTGAGGGCAGAGGTGATGTAAGTCTCCAGTGCAGCGCAGCCTCAGTAAATGAGTTAAGAGTTCATGGACAGAACAAAGTAAACTTGGGAATTTCTACTGTAGTACTGACCCTTTCGTGACTTAGGGCTGCTGCTCAGAATTAGTCTGATAGAGGACATTAACGTTAATCTACTGAAAGGACTTCATGTCCCTGTTGAAGGTTAACTAGAATTTGAAGCCTGAAAAACACTGAGAGATGAGCGGGCTAAGGGTGGCTCTAAGGTCCAGTGTAGTGCAACTGTCCACCTTGAAAGATAAACTTTAATACTAGAGTATGACCACTTGGACAGACTAGAATTTCAAACGGCTTTTTGTAAGCCTTTTCATGCACTGAAGCCAAACACATTACATTTAGAAGATTATATACAAACAGCAACAATCCCCACAAAATGAAAATTATCTGTGTTAATGGAAAAGCATCTAAGTTTCCTGTTAAACTTCCAAACATTAAGCACTTTGTATCTGATTAGCAGGGGGTGGAGATCACTCCACGTCAGTTCTGCCGAGGACAGTAACTAATAGTCCCCTTGCTCCCAGCCCTTTTTCCCTCCACAGAGACCATTTCCAAAGTTTCTAAATGTATTGTAGACTATGAAAGCCATTCAGAATGATGCTTTGCTTTTTAAAGAGGCTCTATTATAGCTGAGGATGCTAGATCTAATACTCTCCCCTAAAGCCAAGCACCAAGCCTTATTTTATTCTCTTCTCTTAGAAGTCTTTCTACTAATTCCAGAAATTCAGACAGATTCAATTATATTCAGGGGGTAAAAGTTCTAAAGTCAGTATCAGGTCCAGCTGGTGTGGCTCAGTGGTTGAGCAAGGACCCATGCACCAAGGGTTCGCCAGTTCGATTCCCAGTCAGGGCACATGCCCACGCTGTGGGCCAAATCTCCAGTGTGGGGCGTGCAGGAAGCAGCTAATCAATGCTCTCTCTCATCAATGTTTCTATCTCTCTCCCTCTCCCTTCTTTTCTCTCTAAAATCCATAGAGAGAAAAAAAAATTTTTTTTTTTAAAGCTTTAAAGTCAGGATCGGGTCAGCATGTGTTCCTAGTGTTTCAGGCCTAGTGTCTTGCAGCTTCCTCTAAACACAATGGAAAAGCAACGGTTTGCATTCGAGCTTGACTACAGATGCTACAGATGTTTCAGGGGACACGCTTCTCATGTAACTTAGTATTGAGCAAGGGCCAAATCCAACCTGACTACATGGCCTAGGCCAGTAAAGTGGGTCAAGCAGGCTAGGCCAGAGGACACAAAAAGTACAAGGAACATTTCAGTCCTCCCTTCAGGCTGTCGCACGTACGGTCTTGTAGGACAAAAACCCACACTCCACCTAGAAGGCAGCCAGCTCTCCACGGCCAGCCCACCAAGCATTGGAAACAGAGCTTACTATCACCAGGTCTGCTTTTCCAGGAGAAGCTCCAAAACCAAAGACACATGAAACTCTGAAAGTTTAAATGGTGACAACTCATTTTTTTTTTTTTTTAAATAGCCACCACCACCCTCAAAAAAATCCATGGGCAACCATTTGCAATCTTCCTGTCCTCATCTGAAAAACGGTGTCATAAACATGAAACACAATAATGCTTATTTAATACTTAAAACGATTACCAACACAGGGTAAGCAACTAAACAGTTCCCTGTAGGTGAAAAGTAGATCTTACCATCAGTAAATTATCTGCTGTGATCTTCAAAGAACCTAATTGAAGATCCCAAGGAGGTGGAATTCTTAGGAGATTTAGACCCTTTCAAATTCTGATCACTGAGTACAGAGTATTAAAGTTATTAGAAACTAAATAGAACCTGCAATAAAGAATGCCTACCAATAGATACTTAACGAGCTTGAAATGGCTCTTCTAATTAAGAGATCTAATAACTGTCACTAGTTAATGGCCACAAAAAGGCAATAAAGTACACATTGAGGGCTATGTTTCAGGGTAAACAGTGGCAGCTTCTAAATTAAGCTGTTAAAACAAACCGAAGGGTTTTAAGGTGAAATGTTCAAATATAACTTCTATTGTCAGATTATAGACTCTTGTCTATTGATACTTCTACTAGTTTTTATACTAGTTTTCTACTAGTTTTAAGCAAATTACAAAAACCAACCGCAATATTAACAAGAGTCTGTTAAAGAATTGCTTTATTAGTACAAACTATTAATACATACAAACGATAAAGCACTGAGAAACTTAAATCTCTCAGTCACAGCAAACAGGTGGCAGTTCCACGTCCAGAGCTGACAGAGAGCTTGAGGGTGACTGCAACGGGTCTAGGAAACAGGAATTTCCTAATCAGTATCTGCAAACCCTTGATTCATTGTCCATCTCAACATGGACCTTAGCTGTCACTTTTAATCATCAATTGTTTTTCCCTTTGTCCAGTGAATCCCTATGCCCGCCCAACCTACACACATACACACTCACTTCCTGGATTATGTCTGTGGTCCCAGAATTAACCTCTATTAGGAAATAAATCTTAAAAATACCTGAAACTCTTAGAGACCCAAGAAAGAGCCAACAATATCACTAGCGTAAATTTATAAAACAATGTAAGTTATCTCATTGGCACAGATAGAAAGGGTATTTATGATGGCTTCTGAGCACCAGCTTGAACAAAGACCTCAAACCCTCTGCAGTAAGAAGTTTTGTCATTCTTTGCTGTTGCACAGGTGTCTTGATCCTGCACCAGCTTTGCCAGTAATTTGGACTTCTTATTCCAAGCAAGTTTATTATACTTTAGCTTGTAAACTAAGAAGCTATATGCTGAGTTCAATCTTGTTTTGTTGTATCTAAGGCTGTCCAGATTCCAGAATGACCGGATTTTACCTGGGCATTTGGAACTAACAAGCAATACCAATTGAGAATATCCTGAAGTTTAAAGGACAGAAATGACTTGCAGGCTAACCTCCCACACAACCCTACCCCCCCGTGATGCAAGCGTCACGACACACCCTGTCTGTTGCCCTTCTAGAAGGGCACTTGTTCACATACCGGACTCCCACAGTGGAGAGGGCATCTTCAGAGGTGAAGGGGGGCCGAGGTGTAACAGCTTTTCAAGTTTCCTCTCCTCGTCGAGGATCATGAGGGGCACTCCATTCAAGGGGAGCTGTGCAATCTGATGTTCTTCAGGCAGGTCAAAACTCTCAAAATCTGCCGGATACAAAGGATTTTGTCAGGCAGCAACTCTCAGTATGGACAGTGGACTCCTGGGAGTCTGAGACCCTTTCAGTGCGTCCATGAGGCCAACTATTTTTCTAATAACACGGACACCTCTTCCCACTGTGTGGACATTGGCAATGATGCCCAGAAGCAATGGTGGATAAAAACCTCTGTGCCTGAGCACGGATCAAGGCAGTGGCTCAGCTGGCTGGCGTGTTGTCCAGTACACCAAAAGGTCGTGAGTTTGATCCCTGGTTGGGGCGTGTACAGGAGGCAACAGATAGATGTTTCTCTATGACATCGTTTCTCTCTGACATCAATGTTTCTCTCTCTCTCTCTCTCTCACACTTCCTCTCTCTAAAATCAATAAAAAAGCATATACTTGAGTGAAGGAAGGGAAAATTCTTTTTTTTTAAAAAAAGGAATTGAGTGATGGTGACTACTTAATTTAACACCACTGAACTTTAAAGGAAACCATAAACAGATAAAAGACTCAAGATGAAACAAGTCTGCAACATAATAAGACTACTTTCCTTTATCCATGAAGAGCTCTTGAAAAAAATAGTCACATTAGCAAAGGAAAACAAAGGTACAAACAGAAGTTAAAATAACTACAAATGGTCAATTATCAAATATGCTCTCTCTGGGGCACACACATGCACCAATTTATTTATTTATTTTTAATTTTATTTATTTATTTATTTATTTAATCCTCACCCAAGGACATTTTTCCAGTTTTTGTTCAGAGTGAGAGGGGGAAAGAGAGAGAGAGAGAACCATCGATGTGAAAGGGACACATTGAGTGGTTGCCTCCTGCATGACCCAACCAGGGCCGGGGACAAACTGCAACTGAGGTACATGCCCTTAATGAGAACTGAACCCGGGCCTCTCTGGACCACAGGCGATGCTCTAACCACTGAGAAAAACTGTCCAGGGCAACACACATGCACCAATTAAAACAGAGAGATACACACTGCCTTTCTGATCAAGATTCGAGTTTTAAAACCTTTGCAGTTACAGACAATGGGGGACGCGGCACCCTCAGCCACCGGAGGTGGGCTCAGTCATTTATGCTCCTGTCTGAAAGGACAGCTTGGCCGTGTCTCTTTCCTGAAACACAGCATACTGCAGTCCTCCTTCCTGGCCAATATGCATAAATCTACCCCATTTTCCTTAATGACTGAATGGTAATCATTAGCATGGCTGCTATCAGAACGTCATTACACATCCTTCGAGACTCAGCAAGCAATTCTTCAAGTTTACTCACTGGGTATACTCACAAACTCACAACAATGTAATTTCCAGAATACTAATTGAGGAATTGTCTGTAATGTAGAAAAGCCAGAAACAACTGGAAGTGTACTAGAAGAATGACCAGGTGCCCTCTGGATGAAAGGGCAGGAAATCCAGCTGAGACAGCCAGAAGGCCCTGCTTGATCTGCCTTGTGCGGTCCTTCACTCTGCCTCTCAGCTCCCCAGAACCAGTCCAGTCCTTCCCTCTACCTCAGGATCTTTGCACACACTGCTATGCCCAATGCTCTTGCCTTGCCAATCCCCTTCCTCACGTAGCCGTCTCCTGAGCGCGTTCTTGAAAGCGGTTCCGGGCTGGTTTGGTTCCCCTAACAGGCCCTGCTGTGCTGCTTGCTCACACTTACAGTGAGGCGATTTGTCCAGTGTTGGACTTTCCCTCCAAATCATGGGCTCCCTCAAGGCGGGGCCTGGCATACAGTAACCTCTCTTCAAAGTGAGTAAATTAAAGCTTAAAAAGCTGATTCTATAATAGAAAACATTTCAGATACATGTAGCAGACTGAAGGAGTAAAAAATTCATGATTTCACTGGCTATGTAAAGTTTTCAGGCATTGTTCAATTTGACATAAAGCCCACTTTCTAATAGGCTTACTAGGGCTTACTGCAGACCTGTTCAAGGTTAGTGAACACATCTCCCCTCTAGGAGGTAAGCTCTTGAGGGCAGGAAAAATGTTCTCCACAGTGTTGCTCCAATTCCTCTTCTGACCCAAGATGATACCTTCCAAATAAATCTACCAACAAGTATATTTGTTCAAAGCAGCCCAGATTCAGACAGTCTCATTATAGTTTTGGGTCATGTGTCATATTCGTATCCCTATCAAGTTACAGCTGAATTAGATTTTAAGAGAAACTTAAGGCTAAATATTTTTGTAATACCAAAAGACACTACCTAGAGGATTGTAGGGAAAAAATTTTTCTATTTCTGGATAGGTGCCATCCGAATCAGGAACAGAGCTTTTTGCTTTAACAGTCTTCTCGGTCACCTAAAACCATCCAAGAAAATATGAGTTAGTGAGAGGGCTTCCTCAAGACATGTGAAGACTTCAGCGCATTTTAAATTTTTTCAATTTCATGCTAAGAACCATAATCCTTAGTTCTCATGATTAACACAAATACAATTCAACAAGCAATTCCAGCAACATGGCTCAAAAGTTGTCTGAAATCTAAGTATTAGCTCCTGTCAGCCTAAGTCATCAAGAACACAGAGTGGAGGTAATTAACTCCATCACTCAACCTAACAGAGGAGAATAGGGGCATGAGTCAGCCAGAAAAGAAGCTAATTCTAAAATCCATTTTTGGCCTTTGGAAGTGTGATTTTCTTGTGTGTTTCTGTCAGTCTTACCTTAATTAGTTGTTTTTTTCCTAATACACGTTTAAAAAAAACAATTATTCAAATAAAGTGTTAATCCACACATCCAAGTCATCTTTGTCAGCTAAGTTTTCTCAGTCTGGGATGCACGGACCTATAGCTCTAGCTCATATACAAACACAAAGGTCAACGTGCTAGCAAATCATCACCTACGAAGCTGGTGCTTGCTCTGGGAGGTGGGGAGGAGGATGGCGGCACCTGAGCTATTATATGAATGACCTATTGCAAAGTACCTCCCTCTCAGTACTTTCTGTATGTGTAAGTAGATACCTTGTTTTCTCACTGTTCACTTTATTGCACTTCATAGATTTTTTTTTTTACAAATTGAAGGCGAGACCCTCCACCATCAAAAAGATGATGTGCTGCCCTGGCCGGTTTTGCTTAATGGTTAGAGCATCGGCCCAAAGGGTCTCAGGGTTGATTCCCTGTCAAGGGCATGTATCTGGGTTGCAGATTCAATCCCCCGCCCCAATCAGGGTCATAGAGGAGGCAACCAATCGATGTATCTCTGGCACATTGATGTTTCTCTCTCTCTCTCCCCCCTGCCCTCCCTTCTGCTCGCTCTAAAATTCAATGGAAAAATATCCTTGGGCCCTGGCCAGTTTGGCTCAGCGGTTAGAGCGTCGGCCTGCGGTACAGAGAGATCCGGGTTCGGTTCCCGCTAAGGGCATGTACTTCGGTTGCAGTTTGTCCCCGGCCCTGGTTGGGTCGTGCGGGTGGCAGCCACTCGATGTGTCCCTTCACGTCGATGTTTCTCTCTCTCTCTCTCTCTTCCTCTCTCTCCCTCCCACTCTATCTGTACAAAAAAATGGAAAAATATCCTCGGGTGAGGATAAAAAAAAAAAAAAGAAAGAAAGAAAAATATCCTTGGGTGAAGACTGACGACAACAACAACAAAAAAGATGACTCGCTTTATGGCACTACTTGCTTTATTACAGTGGCCTGGAACCCATCCTGCAGTATCTCTGAGGTATGCCTGTACTACCAACCAATCTGCTTCAAGACATTAGTCAAGGGCAGGTGATGCAAAATAGTCACCAGCTGCTGCAAAGTCTTCTGATGTCGAGAAGTCCACCAAAAGAGTATGATTCTCTTCTGCCAATCTGTTTGCTAGCCTATATCTACCCTACTCATCGGGAAGAAAGCCAGATAGAATGCCAATAGCCATTTTAAGAGTCAGAAGTGCTGAAGTGTTTAAACAGTGTCTTTATAGACAGCACTTACCTTTTTAGCAGAGAAGTTTGTCTGTTTCTGCTTGAGAGGTCCATCAGTCTTTACTGACTTTTCTGTAGCTCTGTTGACAGTTCCCAAAGCCTTTCTGGGAGCCTTACGTAAGGCCGGAGGAGCATCAAACATTTTACCAACATGTGGTGTTGAAACCTGAGTTCTGCCATCTAAAGCTTTGACTGCTTTAAAAAAAAAAAAGGTACCATAAGATTATTCGGGCAATAACGCATCTGCGCCACTTGAAGGCTGACTGTGTATAAACTTGGCCTATTTCTCACTGCAAACTCAACCCCCATTTTTGACAGCGGCACGGCCATTGTCCATCTCATTCAAATACTGAACATGAAAAAGACTCATAACAAGCATGTTGTAGCAGCAGTACAGGCGTACCTCAAAGATATTGCGCGTTCAGCTGCAAACCAAGCAAGCACCGCAATAAAGTGAGTCGCAACCTTTTTGCTGCCAGAGGGTCTTGCCTTCAATTTGTAAAAAAAAAACGCAACATCTGCGAAGTGCAATAAATAAAAGGAAGTATGCCTGTATTCTGAAAAGTTGACTCCAATTGCCTCCAAGGTACACTAAATGCCTCCCTAGGCCCCAGTCCACACCCCCAGTTGACCCACAATAGCTGTGCATCTGACTGAAGCCTGTATACTTACAAGGCCGGGACCCCAGCTTCAGCCGGTCCTTAGAACTGGCCCGGGTGCCTGGTTGTCCATTTTCCTTATCCACAAAGATCACAGTAGCCATTCTGGATTAACTAGGGGTGTGAAATACATATTAGACCCTGGGGGTTAGGGAGGACGAGAGAGCCTAAGGTGTGGCACAGCCCAAACTGTCCACACCGGCACGCCCACGCACAAGCAAGAGCTAAGCAGCGGGAGACGCGCGAGCTCGAGCCAACGGGCACTTAATCCAGCCCTTAACTCTTGAAGGCTGCGTCAAAGGCTCTATATTCCAGAAGAGACGGCGGTTTGGGGCCGACAGAGACCCTGGTACTCATCAGAACCGAACCGTCGAGGGTCACAACTCAGTCCAAGGCCGTGGCTCAACCCGGTTCGGTGCTGTAGACGACCCCGGACCCGGCCCCCCGGCCCTCGCCCCAGCCCCCCGGCCCCCTGATCCTCACCCCTCGGGCCCTCGCCCCATTCCCCCGGCGCGGACCCCCAACACGCCTTTTTCCTCACCAGACGTCCCCCGCCCCCGCCCCCCGCGACCTCTCCATTCACCCTCGTTAGTTTAGGATCAACAGCCAAAATCACCCACGACCCAGCCTTCAGCGGTCGCGCCAGGCCCCGGTGTTTGAACCACAACTCACGTCCCTATTGGCTCATCCGCCCAGGAGGCGGGATCGGGTGGGGTGGAGACTCTCAGGAAGAACCAATGGGAGGAATTTAAACTCCTTGGGCTCCGCCCCGAAAGCTTTTCTCCCCCTATAGGATTACAGTTTGTTTCTTGTGGCGGGGTGGGAGGGGGGATCAAACCTCCTGACACCTTAAAAATGGACTTTTAGGGGGCGGGTTGTGTATTTTTGTTTTAAACCTGTTCCCCACACACAATGGGGAGTGAATATGGTCTCCAAGTACAAATAACTAGGATGATTATGATGATATCAAGATGCAGGGGTTTTTTATTTCTTTTTCCTGAGATACTTGGGAGGTCAAGACATTCTTAAATGAAGACTGTGAGGTTGAAAAAGTCAAGGCGAAGTGGCAACAGAACTATTCTTCTAAAGTCTTCAACTAATCAACTATTCATCCAGAGAGTAAATAGATCAGAGCAAATAAAAAATAAGAGGTATCCTGGAGGAAAGGCATTGATTGTAGTCTTCAGGAAAATGAGGAAAAATGGATACATAACAGTTGTATTTCAATTAGAGATATGAAAAAATACACAATCAGGTGGGGAAAACAACCCATATTAGGTCTAAAGAATACTAGCAGAGCAGTGTGGGAGACATTTTGCATGGCGTCATTGCTCGACCTGCGGGACGGGTCAGAGCAGAATTAAAAACTAAGAAAAAGTGTAAGTAGAGGGAGATTAAACGCAATATTTGAGTCATTCGGTTATGCTTGTGATTAAGAATAGGCTGATTATTCCCTAATTGAAGGCCTTTCCTCAACATTTCAGGCTAGGATGCTGTTTCTAGTATAGCAACAGGAATCTCTAGGCTTAGGAACAAAATGGTGATCCTAATAAATACATAATTCAGGCTTCTTTAAAAATTCTATCGTTTGCCCTGGCCGGTTTGGCTCAGCGGTTGGAGCGTTGGCCTGAGGACTAGAGAGTTCTGGGTTTGGTTCCCGCTAGGGGCACGTACCAAAAAAAAAAAAATTCTATCATTTAATAGGGATTGTCATAGACATGGTTTTAATATATGCCAGCTCATTGGCCCTTCCTTGGCTTTTCAGGACCAAAATTGACTGAATGATTCACTCGATAAACAAATAATTATTAAATGTTACTTAATGCATTAAAAAGAAAGGATCTTAATATTACCAGAAAGGGGACCTGGCCCTGACTTGGTCTGCCTAGGGCCAGCCAGTAGTGTGCGGGTTCTTGGCTTCGTGCAGAAAAAAGTTCACAGCACAAGACCAGGTGAATTTTAGAGGATGTTTATTAAAGCTGGGGATAGTAAAACAAGAAAGGGCTGGGGAAATGAGCCTAGGCTGGTCTGCTTTAGCTCACTAAGAAGTCAGAGAAAAGGGGAACTTGGAGGCAAGTTCGGGGGCATTGCCCGGGATGAACTGCCACTGCCCACTGCTGCCCTGGTCCAGGTCCCTTAGAATTTAGGAGATGCATGCCTGTAGGGGGTGGGGGAAGAGGTGGGCATGCTCCCGGGAAGGAGCTCTCAAGCTGGGAACCTTCATTTTTAAGAGTTTTAAAGGCTGGGCATTTAGGGGAAGTCTTAGAGCAGGATCCCAATAGAATATCCATCAGCTTTATGCTGATGTACCAAAATGAGGTTTATTCTCTTAACTTCATCTGCCCTTGGGTGTGGTCGGCAAATGACACTAATCGGATTTCTGCTGTCTATCTCCTTGAGTAGGGTGATTTAAACTATTTACCCTCTGGTTGGGGAGAAGTGCAAGCCATTTATTCCTATGAAGTGTCCCTGGTTTAGGAAAGAAAGGATTTACTAGATGGCTATAAACTGCTGTTTAACTATCTCAGTTTCCCTATTTTGCTTACTAGCCTGTCTCACTAACCCAAGAAGGTGAAGAAAAGAGGGAGGACCAAAACAAAACAAAACAAAAAACATGCATACCTTTATTACTCCTTCCTTGTCCTTTTTTCTTTTGAATCCCCACTCCTTCCCTTATTTTCTCCCTGTATCACTTTCTACATGTCTCAGCTCCGTATTATATTATTGGCACACAAAAGTGTTCATTTTGAAACCAAATCTGTACTACAACTTCCAAGTGGGGGATTCTCTGTCTCCTAAGGGTTTTGGCCGCAAGGTTTATATCTCCCTACAGTAAGTCTTCCCCTTACCACAGGAAGCACTGTCCCCCAAGGTTATTCAGTAACTGAAAATGCCATAACCACCTTCTCTTTGAGTGACCACTCTTTTCTGACTAATGATGCCTCAGACCCACTTTGTTATGCCAAACTACTAGTGGGATACCGAATTGCTACACCACCCTCTTCATAAGGGTCCCTACATCCTAATCAACCCCAGTGTATCCTAATCCCCATTAACAAACGGGGACCCATTCAGAACTGTTTCCTTTAACCCTTCTCAGAATCAGTCCGCCAGGCAGGAACCCAAACCTTACAAAAGATTCTTCACTCTTGTCCAGCATATTCTATGATTCCTCTGGGAGATGAATTCCCTGGCTTGTGCCTGGTGGTTTGAACTTAAAAGACCTCAACGCTTCCGAGAAAATTTCAGTAATTGTTTTAAGAAGATAAAAACTAAGTGTGGTAGAGATAAATCAAAGAACTTATATGTATAACCAATGAACACACAAAATTGTGTGGAGGGCAGGAGGGGATCGATGGGGGAAGGAAAGAGGACATCTGTAATACATTCAACAATAAAGATAAGTTTAAAAAAGAAAAAGAGCCCAGCCGGTGTGGCTCAGTGGTTGAGCATTGACCCATGCACCAGGAGGTTGCGGGTTGGATTTCTGGTCAGGGCACATGTCCAGGTTGTGGGCCCGATCCTCAGTGGGGGGCATGCAGGAGGCGGCAAATTGATGTTCTCTCTCATCGATGTTTCTATCTCTCTCCCCCTCTTCCTTCCTCTGTCTCTAAAAATCAATAAAGAAAAATTTTTTTTTTTAAATTCTGGAACTCCCCCAAAAAAACTAAGTATGGTGATTGATAGACTACTCACTTTCAGGTTATTCTCTGACACTTTCTTTTCCTTCATATATTGTCCTCTAGAATAAAAATATTTACATTCCTAAACTCTAGACACAGCCAATTCTTAATAAGAAAAAATAATAATATTTTTTTATTTGGGCTATCTTAGCTGATTTCACTTTTACATTTTATTTTTTATTTTTTTGTTTATTGATTTTAGTTGATTTTAGAGAGAGTGGAAGGGAGAAGGAGAGAGACATAGAAACATTGATGACTGACCACCTCCTGCATGCCCCCCACTGGAAATTAGGCCCACAACCTGGGCATGTGCCCTGACCAGTAATTGAACCGGCGATACTCAGCCACTGAGCCACACCGGCTGGGCTCACTTTTACATTTTAAAGGAATACATGTTATTTTGAAAAACTTTTTTTTTTTTTTTTTAATCCTCACCCGAGGACATTTTTCCATTCTTTGTTCAGGTAGAGTGGGGGGCAGAGAGAGGAACAGAGAGAGAGAGAGAGAAACATCGATGTGAAAGGGACACATCGAGTGGCTGCCACCCGCACAACCGACCAGGGCTGGGGACAAACTGCAACCGAGGTACATGCCCTTAGTGGGAACCGAACCCGAGTCTCTCAGGACAGTAGGCCGACGCTCTAACCGCTGAGCCAAACCGGCCAGGGCTTGAAAAACTTTTTTAAAGTTAACAGAACAGATGAGACAAAAAAGATAAAAATTTCAACTGAGTAAATGTGAAGATCTAATTGGCTTTATTAAATGATTCATGAATTGGGTAGCATCCTAACAACTACAAGAGCATTGGGAAAGTTTTTATAGGAAGAATGATGGGGCAAGGGAGATATTAAACAAACAAACATACAAACAAACAAACAAAGGTTATTCTGGGAGCCAGGATATCCTTTCTTTGCTGGAGGAAGAAGGGGAAGGATATTTGTCCTGCAGATGGTTCTTCTTTTCATGGGTCACAGATGAAAAGGGCCTATGTGACATAACCTTACTGGTGCTTGAGAAAGGAAAGTGTCTAAGCTGCTGCTGAAACTTGATCAATAACCAAGGGAACACAGTAAATCCCCAGCCGAGACCTTTCAGTGGGGCTAACCACATATACTTTAGTACCAATTAAAAAGTACCAATTAAAAAGATAAATGTTTATAGAAGGCAGTGCCCATTCTTTCTACATCCTGATAAAAATATAAAAATAAATGCTTCCAGAACCCTTTCCACAACTCCAGATTCCAGGTGCTTGGTGACCCCACCTTATCTGTATATTCTCTCCACCTGAAGTAAAGCTATCCTTGAATATATGTAATTAACTGAAACAGCTGGTGCATAGCTATATTTGTCTTTGTCCCCCTGCCTGTATAAATAGCTCTGAACTCTGCTCTCAGGCAATGTCCTCAGATGGAATCAAATAAATCTCTTTTCTTAAATCTACAAAGGATCGAGTCTTCTTTTCCTTGACATGCTTGATGAGAAATCCCAGACTGGATGATTAGATTGTTTCTGGGAGAGGTTGAAACTACAATTAAATCCCTTTGGAGGGGTGGGGTGGTGAACTGGGGAGGGGGGAAGGGCTTGGGAGAGGGAAGTAAAGTTGGAGAACCCCAGAAAACAGGTAGAAAGCTTCTAATTCTTTGCTACATCCTCATAGGGGAGATAAATGCCAGGTTGAGGTGGGAACAGGGAATGGAGACCTTGAAGGAAGCCCCCATCCTAAGCCTCAGAACATGGTTCTTGAGTCCAGACCAGGACTGTCTTCAGTGGTTTTTAAAGTATAAGATGTCATATCAGATTTTAAAAGACTTAGCTTTTTTCTTTTTTCTTTTTGTTTTTCTTACGGCTAAATGATATGCTGGATATATTGGGTTAAACAAAATATTGCAAAAAAATATTACCTGTTTCTATTGTCTTAATATGGCTACTGGAATGTTTAAAATGACACCTAGGATTGGCATTATATTTCTCTTGGACGACGTTGGACGACGTTGCATTTAAAGGGTTTTAAGCTTGGGTGGTGGTACGTGATATAAACAAATTTGGGCTTTGAAAAAATTTCCCTGCAGTGTGGAGCACTAACACCAAGGAGTCAGAAGATTGGCAAAACTGGAGGTCTCGCGAGACCAACGTCTAGGGATCCTGAGATCCAAAGAGTTAGTTATTAGTGCGCATGTGTCCCGCGGTGGCTGCCGGGAACGCTGAGAACAGGAAGTAAACATTGACGCATTGGCTTTGTTGCTGTGGATGGTTTTGGGGTCCGCTGCGACAGGACTGGGTGAGGAATTAATGTGGGAACTTGGGTGGGGAAGGTGGGGAGGCGAGCGGGAGCCGGGACGGTGCGGGGGAGTGGGGCGGGCGAGAGGGCGGTTACAAGGAGAGGAATGTGAAGCCAGAGAACCCCGGAAATTGGGCTGGAAGCTTCTATTTCCTAAGATAGTCTCAAGGGGGCGGGTGGGGGGGGGGTGAATACCAGATCGAGGAGGGAACAGGGAACGCCGACCGAGATTGAAACCGCTGTCCTAAGCCTCAGGCATGGTACTTGGGCCCAGTCAGACTAGGACTGTGGCTTCTGTGATTTTTAACGTAAAAATTATGTCATTGGAGTTGCACCGCCCAGTGTCATAGTTATTAGCTGCTTGTGGCTCTTAAACACTTGAAATGTGCCTAGTCTGAGTAAGTGTAACATCCATATCAGATTTTAAAGACTTCGTTTATTTATTTTTTTTCTTATGGCGAAATGATATGCTGGGTGTATTGGGTTAAATAAAACATTTATTGCAAAAGTAAATTTACCTGTTTCTTTCTGTTGTCTTACTATGGCTACTGAAGTATTTTAAATGACATGTAGTAAGGGGGAAAGGAGTAACACTAAGGTGGTAGCATTGAGAAGAGAATTAGATGAATATGAATGATATTCAGAAGGTGAAAATAATTTTTAATGATGAAATAGGTATGGGGATTAGCTAGACCACTTAAGAGATGAACGTTGGTGTTTTTCATTAAGAGAGGGAACTGTAGAAGGAGACTTGATTTCATAGAGAAGATCATGAGTTTGAATTAAGATCTGTTGAGTTTAGGTCTCTATGAGACCTCTAAGTGGAGATGCTGTGAAATAAGCAATTGGAATATATGTATCTGAAGCTCAGAAGACAGTTCTGGAGTAGAGAAATAAATTGGAGCCACTGGTGGTATATTGTGACTACCAAAGCCTTGGAAATAGAGGAGATTGTTCACTAGTGGAGCTCAAGGTGATGAAAAAGGCTCTAGGATTGAGCCATGCAGAATCCAAAATTAAATAAATAGGCAGAAATGGATAAACCTGCAAAGGAGAAAGGAGGAGCAGCAAGAGGGGTACAAGGAAAACCAGAGGAGTGTGGTGTCCTGTAAGCCAAAGGATAAGACTATATCAAAGAGAGAGGGAACAGAACTGAAAAGAATAACTTAGTGGTAACTCTTCAGAGTGGTAAGGGTTAGAAGCTAAATTAGAGCAATTGAGGAGGGAAGCAGATGATGATGAAATAGAGATAATAAATACAAATAACTCTTAAGGCATTCAGTCTTTAAGTGTAACAAAGATCAGACCCTGTTAATTCATTAAGAGTTAGTGTAGTAGAAAAGGTTAACATTTACAGAGAAGAATTCAGGAATGTGTATGAGAGAGTCTTATGAAATTTTAAATACATGTATATCTCTCTCCATTTGTAAATTAGAATTGAGGGAGTACCTACAGCAATAGAGACTTATTTATGGGGAAGAGAACCTGCCTTTACAAATACTATGAAAGAATAAGAACATGAAACTTTATAACTCACAGTATGTGTTATTAGGATAGTTAGTACATTTGATAGTTTCACTGATGAACTCATGAAGGCCTAGTTTATACCAATATAGATTTCTTCCTTTTCATAGAGAAGGCCAGGTAAAAATGTCGGCTGCAGCTGTGGATACAGTTAATGCTGCCCCGTTGTCGGGGTCCAAAGAAATGAGTTTGGAGGAACCAAAGAAGATGACCAGAGAGGACTGGAGAAAGAAGAAGGAGCTAGAAGAACAGCGTAAACTGGGTAATGCTCCTGCGGAAGTTGATGAAGAAGGAAAGTAAGTAATTGTTAGCATGATCTGTTCGTTTACAATTCACATTCATGTCTACTGTATCAATTCCTCATCCTTTGACAGGAAGCTATGTTTACCATTTACATCATGTTTGTTTTATTTATTTTATCAAACTCATATGTGTAAGGTTTAGTAATCAAATAATATTGAAGGACTTATAATAAACAGCTATAGTCCTTTTCAACTTTTCCCATTGCCTGTCCCACTGTACAAGAATGACTAATTATAGATCTTTGTATTTTTGAATTTTTCTGGCTGAGAACTCCACATGTCTAAATAATATACTTAACCCATTATTTTAATCAACTCTAAGACATTATTAGTTTATTTCTTGCTCTGATATATGATTTATCTCACTAAAATACATTTCTCTTCCTCCTTCAGTTATATCACTGTTCTTAGTTTCTTTTTGGGAAATTTTTTCACTCTAATTTGAATTATTTTTTATTCTCTTTTTTTAAATTACGTTACAGAGATATCAAGCATCTTCTTCCCTCTCTCCCTGCCACCTCCCTCCCCCCCCAACTGCAATATCTCCATTCTTAGATTCTGCATAGGCTACCTTTAGTAATTGTAATATCAAATATTTAAAAACTTTATTCTTTTATTTTATTACAGAGATATCAACCCTCATATTCCTCAGTATATTTCTTCAGTGCCATGGTATATTGATCCATCAAAAAGACCTACTTTAAAGCATCAGAGACCACAACCAGAAAAACAAAAGCAGTTCAGTTCATCTGGAGAATGGTACAAGAGGGGTGTAAAAGAGGTATGTAACACCCTTTACCACAATACTATATAAAGTAGAAATAGATCACATAACCTTCTATTTGGTATTCAAATTCACAATACATATGACATTAGCTTCTGTATTTTATTTTATAAAGTTTATATTGCTGAAGTTCTTAAACTTTCTCATTTATAAAAGTGTAGGAGACTCTAGTTATCCTCTTAACAAATAAATAATTTTACTAGACATTATGAGAGCCAATGTTATTTCTAACTTATTCAGATAAATAAAACATGTTCTTGCCTAGCTGGTGCGGCTCAGTGATTGAATGTCGACCCATGCACCAAGAGGTTGCTGGTTCGATTTCCGGTCAGGGCACATGCCCGGGTAATGGGCCCGAACCCCAGTGGGGGCATGCAGGAGGCAGTCAGTCGATGTTCTCTTTCATCGATGTTTTTATCTCTCTCTCCTTCTCCCTTCCTCTCTCTCTCAAATCAATTTTTTAAAAAATAATAAAATAAATAAAACATGTTCTTTGTTTTTCTGTGTATTCATTTATAGAATGCCATAACTACTAAGTACCGCAAAGGAGCATGTGAAAATTGTGGGGCCATGACACACAAGAAGAAAGACTGCTTTGAGGTAAATTCACTTTTGAGGATTTCAGAAAATCTTGTCAGCATCTTTCTTTCTTTATTCCTTATCAGAGAGCTTAATTCTATTTTTCTAAAATTACCTATTACTTAGTTAAATAAAAATTAATTTGCATGAAATTAGTTCAGCATCAAATTTTTCTGCTGGAAGACTTAACTCTTAATTTTATGAAATAGACCATAAAGTCCCGTGGTATGTTCACACTAGCTCTGTAAAGATTATAGGAAATTTTCCTCTGGGCTACAGGTACTTAGAGAAAGATTAATCTTACTCTGTTTTCCAGAGACCTAGGCGAGTTGGAGCAAAATTTACAGGAACTAACATAGCTCCAGACGAACATGTCCAGCCTCAGCTGATGTTTGACTATGATGGGAAGAGGGATCGGTGGAATGGCTACAATCCAGAAGAGCACATGAAAATTGTAGAAGAGTATGCCAAAGTTGATCTGGTGAGCAAAATTCTCTGCTTTCCTAGTATCCTTAAAGAATGTACATTTTGCACTGTCTCGAATTTAGCAATTCTATTTTTTGAGCCTTCAAGTAGTTTAAAATGGAGGCATTTTTATGTAAGTCTAATTGAATAATGTACATAAACAATGTGCTGGTCCTATTTGGTAGCAATTTCTTTTTATGTGATTCTTGTGTTGTCCTTTACTTCCTGACTTAGGTTGCAAAAAATTAGTGGAAGCATGAGAACAGATCGTGTCCAAGCTTTTGGCTTTTTGAGATTATAAAATTGGTTCCCAGACTGTATCATGGCCATGGGCCTATTTTACAATTGGCTCAGAGCATTTGAAAGGTGATAAAAGGGGAGGGACTAAGATAATTTGTTTCAGAAAATTGAATTTTACTTTAATTCGACGTCAATTTTATTCTGTTTTCACCTACTCACCCCCATTCTTTAAAAACCATAGTCACAGTGACCTTTTATTTCTCTAAGGGGGAGATAACATTTAAAAATCATGGGATATCACATAACCTAAACTTTATCTTTTCTTGAACAGTGAAACATATGGTGATGCTAGGCCTGCCTGGCAAGAGTCAGTCATCTAGAGACAGGTGGCAACTGCCCCTTTGGATAGGGCTTGCCATCTGCAGTTTACCACAGGTGCTGTCTGGCTCATTTTCCATTCATGCCTGGTGCAAACAGTTCCTTAGAGAGGCATAGGTCTAGATGCCTGGAAATCTCAAAGAGAAGACCTTGTCTGCTGACCTTTTCTGAAAACAATAGACTTATTCCCTTTAAATATATTACAAAAATTAAATGTTAATGCAAATGTTTTGTTTGTTTTCTTTTTGTGGCTAGGCAAAACGAACACTGAAAGCCCAGAAACTTCAAGAAGAATTAGCTTCAGGAAAATTAGTGGAACAGGCTGTAAGTAATAAAAATATTTCAAATCTTTGTAAACAAAAACTGAAAATTGAAACAAGAATTTATATATCTCAATGTTAGAAAAGATTTTAGGAGGAGAGAAGCGCTATTGAGGGGGAAGAGTAAAACTAACACTTTTATATCATTCATCAGAATACAAATTGATGTAATCATTTGGGAAAGAATAGTGCCTTAAAATACTTCTATACCTTTTCAAATTATTAGAGCCATCCATCCTAAAGAATTTTCTAATATTCAGAAAAATCATTATGCACAAAGATGTTCATCATAGCAGTTTTGTTAATAGCAAGAAATTGAAATAGCTTAAATTTCCAGGAATAGGAAATTGGCGAAGTGAGCGATCCTGCATCTGCATGACAGCATAGTTCTTAAAGTGGCTTTTATCAAGACTTAGTAATAACACTGGATAACACTTAGATTTTTTTTTTTTTTTTTTTTTTTTTTTATCCTCACCCGAGGACATTTTTCCATTTTTTTTTTGTTCAGGTAGAGTAGGAGGGGGAGAGAGGAACAGAGAGAGAGAGAAACATCGACGTGAAGGGACACATCGAGTGGCTGCCACCCACACGACTGACCAGAGCCGGGGACAAACTGCAACCGAGGTACATGCCCTTAGCGGGAACCGAACCCGGGTCTCTCGGGACCGCAGGCCGACGCTCTAACCGCTGAGCCAAACCGGCCAGGGCATAACACTTAGATTTTAATGACACATGCAAAAGTCTGATAATATCATCACATAAAAAAATACCAGAATACCAGATCTCATTTAATGTAGTTATTGAATTTTTCTACATACTCTTTTTTCTCTCTCACTATTTTCCATAATGAATGTGATAATTTTATAGCTAGGCAAAAATATTTTTATATTAAAAAAAAAACATTGCAGCCAATTTGTTTCTTGTTTTATTCATGTCAGCTTAATAGTTAACATATATTGTGCTTGTTAAGAGTTTTGAAAGTTTATTTTTAAAAAATTTATGGCACAAGTAAATGGTAAACATTTGGTATTTAAATTCCTAAAAGGCACTTTTACAAACAGACAGAACCAACTAAATAAGTAAGTAGTCACTAAGGCCACCTGTCTGCCAAGTTCACAGCACAAGCTAACAGGTAGATATTAAAATCCAGCTTTGCCCCTGGCTAACAAGACTGTCCTAGAAAAATTAATGTGCCTCTCTGAGCCTCAGTTTATCCTCCCTAAAGTTGGCTACCCCACTCCCACCCCAGGGGGCTTTGCATACATATCACATAGTAAACACTTGGTAATTAATAGCCATTGTTGTAATTATTATTAATTATTCCTAACTTGGAAAAATGAAAAGTGGCCTGTTTCTTTGGATCTAACATATTTTCTGTTACAAGTATATAACTTATTTCCCCAGTAAACATTGTTAAGTATATGTAGAAGACTGGAAATTTTTGTCCACTTGGATACTTGGGTATTAAGATTAACTTTTTATTGTAGAGCAGTCTACTACAGAGATTTAGCTGTCTGTATAGCAATATAAATGTCCTTTGTTGAACTAGCAACTTTTGGGAATGCCAAAAAAAATCTTTTTAAATATTTCTGATTTTGAAAGTAACATATACTAAGTGAAATAAAAATTAGAAAATTAGAAAGAACAAATATTTCTATTAACTATTAACATTTTGAAGTAGGCCTTTCCTGGTCCTACTCCACCCCCTCCACCCCCCAAACACACACATATCTATATACATGTGTAATTACAACAACAACATGTGTTGTATGTGGATTCATCTTCATATAACTCAAGTATCACCTATTTCTTCAAGGAAACAATATACAGTGCAATGATTACTTGTTTTCTGCATCATTAAATATAGACCTATTACTTTTGTATAAGTTCACATGTTTCAAAGCTCAAAACAATTTAAGATGTACAGCAAAATGTCTGTCACTCTTTCCTCCATCCACCCTATCTCTAAACCTCATCCTCCCATAACCTTTTGTATTTTCCTTATGGATTTTTAAAAAGTGTATTATGTAAATACAAACTAATAGAAACATATAAAAGTTTATTCTCACTTTTTATCTCTCTTTTTTTAAACAAAAAAGGTATCAAATTATACATATTTTTCTGCATCTTGGATAGAACCCCTTTTTATAGTTGTACAATGTTCATTGACTGCAATAATTTATATAACCAGTCATCTATTGTTAGTTTGATTTTTTCCCCAAAATCTTTAATATTGTATATAAAATCTGCAAATCAGCCCTGGCCCAGTGGCTCAGTTGGTTGGAACATTGTCATGTACATGAAAAGGTTGTTGGTTTGATCCCTGGTTGGGGCACATATGGGAGGTGATCGATGTTTCTCTATTTCTCTCTCTCTCTCTCCCTCTCTTTTCTCTCCCCTTCCTCCCTCCCTCCCTTCCTTTCTTCTTTCCTTCCTCCCTCCCTTCCCTCCTTCCTTCCTCCCTTTCTCTAAACATATCCTCAGATGAGGATTTTTTTAAAAATTATATAATATTGCAAATCACATTTTTTTTTTTATCCTCACCCGAGGACATTTTTCTATTTTTTGTTCAGGTAGAGTGGGAGGGAGAGAGAGGAACAGAGAGAGAGAGAAACATCGACGTGAGAGGGACACATCGAGTGGCTGCCACCCGCACGACCTACCAGGGCCGGGGACAAACTGCAACTGAGGTACATGCCCTTAGCGGGAACCGAACCCGGGTCTCTCTGGACCACAGGCCGACGCTCTAACCGCTGAGCCAAACCAGCCAGGGCCCAAGGACATTTTTTGATATTTTTTTCAGATAGAGTGGCCAAGCCCTTTGAACTCTTTTATTTTATTTATTACTTTTATTTCTCTTGTGTAGATACCTAGTAGTGGAATTTTTAGGTCATATGGAAAATTTGTTTCGCTTTTTTAAAACTACCAAGATTTTTTTTTTTTTGTAACTCTCACTCGAGGATATTTTTCTATATATTTTCAGATAGAGCGGGAGGGAAGGAGGAAGAGAGAAAGAGAGACATTGATGTGAGAGGGACACATCGATTGGTTGCCACCCACATGACCCCAACCAGGGCCAGGGTCAAACTGCAACTGAGGTACATGCCCTTGGCCAGAATTTGAGCCCAGGTCTCTGGTTTGCGGGCCAACGCTCTAACTGCTGAGCAAAACTGGCCAGGGCATGAACCCTTTTAATTGGAAATGATGAAATACTGACTACTTTGCTATCGTTCTGTGGAGTTACAGAAAATCCTAACCAATTGCTAGTGAAACTGTGTGTCTGTGACAAGAATTTCAGGCTCTCCTTAAATCACAATGTGGTGTTACTTGAGTAGATTTTTTCATAGCCAAATTTATATAGAGGCTGTTTGGGCTCTAACAGCATTTATTACGTGGTCCTGGTAGTATTTTCTTTTTGAACTTGATAGAAAACTAGTGAAGTTTCATGAAAATGATATGTCTAAGATGAACACATATGAAATGAATATTTATTGGGTGCATTGATCATTTCAGTCTTTCTATTTCCTTTGTGTGGGATTGCAATTTTATATCAATGAAAATTCTCTAGAAATGTTCTGGTTTCTAATCAAATTCTTTACAGTGATATACTTGTATTAAGAACTTATGTGCTCACCCAGCTAGTGTGGCTCAGTGGTTAAGCATTAACCCATACACCAAGAGGTCGCCGGTTTGATTTCCAGTCAGGGCACATGCCCAGCTTGTGGGCCAAATCACCAGGTGGGGGCATGCAGGAGGCAACCAATCGATGTTCTCTCTCATCGATGTTTCTGTCTCTCTCTCCCTCTCCCTACCTCTTTCTCTAGAAATCAATAAAGAAAAAAAATTTAAAAAAAAAAGAACTTACGTGCTCAATGAAGTGAGAAATATGAGAATTTGTTCAGTTAGATTTGTTTAATTATCTTAATTATGTTCTTAAAGTGTTAAATAATCAATAGGTTTAGTAGAATAAACTAACACATTTTTTTTTTTCCTTCTGTCATGATGCAGAATTCTCCAAAACACCAGTGGGGAGAAGAGGAACCAAATTCTCAGATGGTAATGAATGTTTGTCCTCGTTGGGTATAAATTTTCAATTTCTGATGGTTAATATAATAATATAATTATTACTGATTATATTAATAATAGCTTTAAAGAACACAAGTCGTGCCCTAGCCAGTTTGGCTCAGCGGTTAGAGTGTCGACCTGCGGTCCGGAGAGACCCGGGTTCGGTTCCCGCTAAGGGCACGTACTTCGGTTGCAGTTTGTCCCCGGCCCTCGTTGGTCGTGCGGGTTGCAGCCACTCGATGTGTCCCTTCACGTCGATGTCTCTCACTCTCTCTCCCTTCCTCTCTCTCCCTCCCACTCTATCTGTACAAAAAATGGAAAAATATCCTCGGGTGAGGATAAAAAAAAAAAAAGAACACAAGTCGCCCTGGCCGGTTTGGCTCAGCGGTTGGAGCGTCGACCTGCGGTCCAGAGAGACCCACTTTCGGTTCCCGCTAAGGGCATGTACCTCGGTTGCAGTTTGTCCCCGGCCCTGGTTGGTTGTGCGGGAAGCAGCCACTCGATGTGTCCCTTTCACGTCAATGTTTCTCTGTCTCACTCTTCCTCTCTCTCCCTCCCACTCTATCTGAACAAAAAATGGGAAAAAAATGTCTTCGGGTGAGGGTAAAAAAATAAAGAAAGAAAGAACACAAGTCACTAAGGGTATGGTTAAAGGGAAATGAAAGGAAAACAACTAAATGCTATTCTTTTTTTCTCACTATTCTTTATTCTTTTTCCCTCTTCCTCTTTCAGGAAAAAGATCATAATAGTGAGGATGAGGATGAAGATAAATATGCAGATGATATTGACATGCCTGGACAGAACTTTGACTCGAAGAGACGAATTACTGTTCGGAATCTTAGGATTCGAGAAGATATTGCGAAAGTAAGCCTGGCCAACTTAATGTACACATTCAAAAAATACTTGTCTTCCCAGCCTAAATTTTATCTACCTGTCTGTTATGTGGGCAGTATATAGGTAATATAGTCATTCCAAAATTAGGTATCATTTTGGGTTTTTTCTGTTCATCTGTGCCCCAGAATGCATTCACACATAGGATTGATTGTGATCAACTTCTGGTCTGCTGAAATTTTTTTGTTGGAAGAAACATTAATGTAATCTTTGAACATTTTTCTCTTCTAGTATTTGCGGAATTTAGATCCAAATTCTGCTTACTATGATCCCAAAACTAGAGCGATGAGAGAGAATCCCTATGCTAATGCAGGAAAGAATCCAGATGAGTAAGTACTGAGTCAGATGTACCTATTTCAGGATGATGGCTGGGAGGGGTGGGACGTCTACTATAAAACTGAATCTGAATTAAAATGAACATCGTCTGCGGTTGGGTCAGAAAAGAATTAACTGTCTTAAAGAAATCAATCTCTGAAACAGTTTTCTTTTTCAATTTGTGTTTACAGAGTGAGCTATGCAGGAGATAACTTTGTTAGATACACGGGTGATACCATTTCAATGGCTCAGACACAGTGTAAGTGTTTGCTGTATTGTCAAGGCATCTTATATCAGCTCACAAGAAAGTTGGGAGCATTTTAGAAATATTATGTAGCTGACAACTTACTGTGATGTTTTAATTGCCCTAGTGTTTGCTTGGGAAGCCTATGACAAGGGCTCTGAAGTGCATCTGCAGGCCGATCCTACCAAACTAGAGCTCTTGTATAAGTCCTTCAAAGTCAAAAAAGAAGACTTCAAAGAACAGCAAAAAGAAAGCATCCTGGAAAAGGTAATTTTGACCAAAACGCTAAAGAACATTTCTTAAAGAGAAATCACCAGTTAATAAGCATTTGCTCTACACTTGAAATACAATACAAAGAAGGTCCCTTTTAATCTATCAGGAATAGTCCTTTTTTCCCATTGACTTAATCATTTGGCAAACAGTATCAGGATAGCTGTATCCCTGAGCTTTGGTAGTAAAATAAACCACCCCAGATCATAGTAACTTAAAACAAACATTTGTTTTTTCTCATGAATCTATATGTCAGCTGGGTCTCCTGGTCTGGGCCTGCTCATCTGAGGCTGGATGGTCTAGGATGGCCTTACTCTGGTCTTTCACAGTTAGGAAGATTGTCTTGTCTGAAACAGTCCATCTCTGCCCTGCCTGGGCTCTCGTCCTCCAGAAGGCTAGTCCAGCTTCTTTCCATGGCATTGTCAGGATACCAGAGACTAGTAAGAGGTACGCCCCAGTGCATGAGTGATTTGGGGGCCTTTCGTTCATCACATTTGCCAGTTTCCCATAGGCCACAACAAGTAATGTGACCAACCCAGTTTCAAGGAATGGAGAGACAGACTCTTCAGGGAAGGAACAGCAAAGCCATGTGGCAAATGGGCATGTGTACAGGATAAGAGGAATGTATGGCTACAGTCAACATAATAACAACTGAGACATCTTGTATTTGCCTATGAAAACTTGATGGCTTTTTTTCCCACTGTTTGGTATAACAAGGCCCATAAATAGTATTTCTTTAATCTTTCTGATTGGAAATAAATAAACCCTTCAGTAGATTGTTGAATGCAAATCTTTATTGTAAAATGTATTTAATAATGTTCAATGTTTTTTTAGTATGGTGGCCAAGAACATTTGGATGCCCCTCCAGCTGAATTGCTTTTAGCTCAGACAGAAGACTATGTGGAGTACTCAAGACATGGGACAGTCATTAAGGGACAAGAGCGGGCTGTCGCCTGCTCTAAATATGAGGAGGATGTGAAGATCCACAACCACACGGTAATGTGTTAAGACAGAACCATTTTGTGTCTTTGTTAGCATTTTGCTCTGGATTGTATTTTTACATTACGATTTCATTATTGAATTATTGCTGTGCTTTTCTTTTCTTTTTTTACATTTTAAGTTTGTTTTATTTTTTTATTTTAAATATGTTTTTATTGATTGTTTTAGAGAGAGAGAAAGGGAGAGATAGAAACATCGATGTGAGAGAGAGACATCAGTGGGCTACCTCCTGCACGCCCCTCACTCGGGATCGACCCCAAAACCCAGGCATGTGCTCTGACCAGAAATCAAACTGGGACCTCTCAGTCCATGGGACAACGCTCAATCCACTGAGCCACACCAGCTGGGCCTCAGGTTACATTTTAAATAACATCTCTCTTTCTCTCTTTGCAGCATATCTGGGGATCTTACTGGAAGGAAGGCCGATGGGGATACAAATGCTGTCACTCTTTTTTCAAGTATTCCTATTGTACTGGAGAAGCTGGGAAGGAGATTGTTGTAAGTAATTGTCCTGTAGTTCTTATAGCTGTAAAACAACCAAAGCTCCTAAGTCATAATCTGTGTGAAACATATATATCCTTGTGCTTTAGATTTAACTTTTTCTTACATGATTGATAACACTGATACTCAAGTCCAATTACATATATTTTCCCACAGAATTCAGAGGAATGTATTGTAAATGATATGAATGGAGAAGAATCTATGAAAAAACCTCAAACCCTCGTGGAGGTAAGTGTATAAATCATTTGTCTTGAGTTTTTAAATCCCTAAGGGAGGACTTTAAACCTTGCTCTAGAGCTTTGTTTTTGCATCAAAAACGCTGTATTTTAATCCTCCCTGTCAGATACATCAGGAAAAACTAAAAGAGGAGAAAAAGAAGAAAAAGAAGAAGAAGAAGAAGCATCGAAAGAGCAGTTCAGATAGTGATGACGAAGAAAAGAAACATGAAAAACTGAAAAAGGTACTTTGTAAAGTCTAAATAGTAAAAGTGACAACAGTATTCATTATTGGTAAGGGACCTTAGGAAATAAATTAGTCCTGTGTCTAAGTTCACTTTAAAAATGAAGAGATGCATTCCCATTCTGGGTGATTTGCTCAGGTCCCCTTGTATCAGGTCAGAATGCAAATGAAGATTTTGTGTGTCTCAATATTGCCTGCTTCTTGGAATATTTGACAAATATCACTAATGCAAAAAAAAAAAAGTGCTTTGTAAAGCCGTAATTTTAGAGTTGTTGACATGTTGCCCAGAAAGAATTGCCTCTAGTTCTATAATCTGTAAGTTTCATCGAGTCCTTGGGAAAAGTCAGAATTGCAGTCCCCACCAGAAGCATCACTGTGGGTTTGTCAGTAAAATAAACGTCATTTCAATTTTTGCTATTAAGTACAAATTCTTTCTTTCTTTCTTTTTTTAATTAAAAACCCTTTATTTTACTAGAGCACTTTTAGGTCCAAGCAAAATTGAGAGAAAGGTACAGCTATTTTCTATAATATCACACTTGTAGCCTCCCATATAATATCAACATCCCCCACCAGATTAGTACATTGTTAAAACTGATGAGCCTGCATTGACTCATAATAGTCACCCAATATCTATCTAGTTCACCTTATTTTTTTAAATTGAATTTATTGGGGTGACGGTTAATAAAATTATATAGGTTTTAAGAGTACAAGTCTAATATGTCATCTATAGTATGTTCAACACCCCAGGTCAAGTCTCCTTCCTTCAACATTTTCCGCCCCCTTTACCATCTTTTTTTTTTTTTTTTTTCAGGGGCCATGCTAATCTTCTCTGTATCGTTCCAATTTTAGTATATGTGCTGCCGAAGCGAGCACCCCCTTTACCATCTTAAGTAAAAATTCTTTAACATTGAAAATACTATAGAATCTTTTGGGCTCTATGAAAATAATTATATGAGCCAAATGTGATTAGTTGCAGCTTGATAGTAAAAGGGCTGACTCCCAAACTCTTTCAGGTACCGTAGTTTTTGATGTAGCAGTTCATACTCAATAGTCTTTGGTATTCTGCCACTTTGGAACAGAGAGAACTGGTGGAGAGCGCTGGCACTCACGTTTGTCCCTCTCCCTGCAGGCACTGAATGCAGAGGAGGCCCGCCTTCTTCATGTCAAGGAGCTCATGCAGGTTGATGAGAGGAAGCGGCCTTACAACATCCTGTATGAATCTCGGGAGCCCACCGAGGAGGAAATGGAGGCCTATAGAATGAAGCGTCAGAGGCCAGATGACCCCATGGCCTCCTTCCTTGGACAGTAGTAACTAGTCGCAGATGGTCACCGATGTTACCATCTGATGATACATTCTTTTCAGCTTCTTGCCGATGACTGTAGATGGAAAAGTCTGTGTCCACTCATCTTGCTGCCTGACTTTAATAAAGCCTCCAGGAGTCTAATAGTAAATTTGTTCCTTCCACGTTGAAGAAGTAGAAGAAAAACAAAGTGGAGGTACATTAAGTACAGATTACGATTTTTATTTCCAAGTTTATATTAGTGATATGGAAGGAGGAGCTCTCTCGTGCACACGTGAACTCTCTCTCATCTTTACAGTTCAGTCTTAAACTTTATTTCTTCAATTTTTATGGCCCCTTATCTGGTGTTTGACACATTTTAAAGGTAGATTAACTACTCTTTCTCAAAACTAGGGCTTCATTTTTTTTAATTAGTAGTAACTATAATTGTAGTTATTTTATAGTCATTTGTTTTTGCCTTCTAAGCTTTTCCTGGTCTGCAGCTAAAAAAATTCAATGTGAATGGAAATTTGTAGGACATGTGAATAACTTTATCCTCTGTGGTAATAATTCCTCACAGCTACACCCAGAACTAAATTTAACCTGTGAACGGAAAAAAATAACTGTTTTGTCATTTTTATTTTGGTTAATCCTCACTAGAGGGTATTTTTCCACTGATTTTTAGAGAATGGGAGGGAGGGAGGGAGGGAGGGAGGGAGGGAGGGAGGGAGGGAGGGGGAGAGAGGGAGAGAAAGAAAGAAACATGGATGCTGAAGAGATAACATCAACTGGTTGCCTCCCCCGTGACCCCAACCCAGATACATGCCCTTGACCGGAATCTAACCCAATACCCTTCAGTCTGCAGGCTGATGCTCTGACCTCTAAGCCAAACCAGCCGGGGCTGTTTTTTCATCCTTTAATCAGAGTTGACCAATCAGTGTTAGGTCTTTTACCATTTTGGACATAAGTATTTAGACACCAAAATCCTTTCCTTTTTTCGTAGAGGGTATTGTTTGTGATACTATTATTTTGTTTTGTTTTAATTGTGATTGCCATTACATGACAAACATGAATATTAAATTTGATTTCAAAAGCTTGTAGATTCTCTTGTACCTAATCTTTGTAGCCAGCAGATGTCACTTTGTAAAATTTGCAAAAGCAAAATCTAAAGTTGATGGTTTCTTATAGGGCTACTAGTAACTGCAGTTGCCATGATGCTCAAGCCTCTTCTATGAACATTGTCAAAATAATACTGACAGTGAAAGCAGGGTCCATGAAAGAAACGAGTTAAAAACCTCTGACCGAATACATTGATTTTTTTTTCAATCCTCACCTAAGGATATTTTTTTTCATTGATTTATAGAGAGAGTGGAAGGGAGCATGGGAAGAGAGAGGAGAAAGAAACATTGATGTGAGAGAAAAGAAACACCTCGATTGGTTGCCTCCCGCACACACCCCAACCAGGGCCGGGGATTAAACCTGCAACCCAGGTACATGCCCTTGACCAGGAATTGAACCTGTAACCCTTCCGTGTGCAGGCCGACACTCTAACCACAGAGCCACACCGGTGAGGGTGAATCCATTGACTTAACAGCTGGTGGGATTTTCTCAGCTACCAAAATTTACTAGGATACTGCATTAAGTTAGCATCTTAGAATTCTGGTGGGAGAGTGAATCAAATTGTCAAGTACTGTGGATATATACATGGTATCTAGATTCAGACTGGTACGCAATTAAAACAGCAATGCAAACATCTAATTCTTACCCACTTTAAGAATGTCAAAGTTTATGTTTTCATATTCCTGGTTGAACATAGTTCAATATACATCTGAGATTGGTGTTTTGTATCTTATTTATCTTTTGTTAATAAAGATCTTACTTAACTATGAGAATACTTAACTATGAATGGTTTGTAGTATTATTTCAAAGATTTGGTAGAAAAGTGGTTGTTGATAGGGCTCTGAGGGAATGGTTAGCTTCTGTGAGTTGGATAAAAAAATTTTCATGGTCCTTTAACTCAAAAAATATGACACCTATCCTTTCTGGGCCTCTGTTCCAACTTCTGTGAAAACTTATTTACTCTGATTTTAGGAAAGATTCTGTAATATCTGAAATCATGTCTTATTTCTGTTTTAAGAAAGGTAATACTCAGAACATTATTCAAGATAATGTGCTTTGATGTTTATTTCGATAATAGCTGCCTTTTGAGTGCTGTAATTTTCACATATAACTTATCTCCTCTAAAGAACTGCATGGGGTAATGGATGGTATTTCTACTTTACAATAAGTATATGAGCTTAATGAGTCCTAAGTAGTTTGCTCAAGGCCTAACAGTTAAAAGTGTTGGGACTGGGACATGAAGCCAGGTATCTCTGACTCTAAAGCTTATTCCTTTCTCTAATATTTAAGGCCCTGGTTTCTGGGCCAGGAATGCTGGTCTTTTGCAATGTTTTCCATTAATGCCCTTGAGAAGGCCTTCAGTTTTGACCAGGTTCACGAACTTTAACACCTGAAAATGATGCATCTGTCCTACATTCTTTTTTTTTCTTTATTGATTTTTAGAGAGAAAGAAAGGGAGAGAGAGAAACACTGATGTGAGGGAACATTGATCAGCTGCCTCCTGCTTGCCCCCCACTGAGGATTTGGCCTACAACCTGGGCATGTGCCCTGATTGGGAATGGAACTGGTGACCTGTCCTACATTCTTGAGCATTCTCTGGTCCCCCAGCTTTGTGGGATGCTTCTGACAAGATTGACTATACAAAAAAATAAAATAAAATGTCATTTCCTGAAGAATTCTTAACGAAAATCGGAAAGGGGGCTAATCCAATTTCTTTAAACAATGTTTTCTTGTTTCGTCTTTGGAGCTTATCTCTAATCTAGGTTTATTACTTTAAGGTCCTGTTGAAAAGAATTATAAATAAAAATCTTTTCTCTAAGATGGATGATGATTCTCAGTTAATTCTCTACGTGCTCTAATGTATGGAAGGGTGTGGGTGACCAGCCTGGGCAGGAGGATCCAAGCTCTGGAAGCACGCCCTCCACTGTATCTTAATGGAATTTGCAGCCTGTCCCATTTGCCTGAATGTTTAATTTGCGAGTACAGTGAGCTTCCTTCTCTTTCTCATCATTGATTCCACATAGAAAAGGATAAATCATTGGAGCTTTACAAGTTCAAAGCTTGACACGCTATAAAATTTTGTTTCCAGTGTTCTGAAGAACTGTATAGACTTTGCAGGGCCTTCCATTCTTTCGATTCTATTTTTCTAGCAGACACAATACAAAATAAAAAAAATTAGCTCCACGTACACAATCTGAAAACGGGATGGCAGGGGACCGCCAGTGCGCATGCTCCTTCCCCAAGCCGGCCCAGCCCTCAGCCGGCTGCTGATGCGCCTGCGTGTGGGGAGACGCCTCGCCCAGCCTGCGGGCGGGAAGCGGCCGCAGAACCCGGATGGGATCCTGCCGCGGCTGGGGTGGAGGTTGCGGCGGGCGCTTCTGGGTCACCCCTCTCCGCAGGTTCCTGCTCCCGGGTCACACCTGAGGAACCGCCGCCTGGACTGGTTCCGACGCCCAGAGGCCAGGCCTCAGCCTGAGCGGAAAGTGGCCTGGGGCCGAACGGGCGCCCAAGAGAAGCCCGAGCATCCTTTGGGCCTGCGCCGCGGGCTCGGAGACGGGCGGGTGGAGACCGAGCCGGTCCGCCCTCCTCGCCGCCGGCGCCGTCGCTCGCCGGGGCAGCTCCTGGCGTCCGTAATAATAACACCAACAGGTCCTTCCTACCAGTTACGAGCTGCGTGCGCTTCCCACGCATGCTCATAATTAAACATCCCAACGACCCTATCAGGTAGGTACTATTGTCATCCCAGCCCCAGCCTGTAAGTGACAAAGCCGGGATCCCAGGCTTTTGCCTCTGGAGCGTCTGCTCGTCCCTTTCCTCCTGGCTATCGGCTTTTAATTGTAAAAATATAATGACTGAATCCTCTGCCTGCCCAGACACCCGCACCTGCCGCGGACTGGCATAGGCTGGATAGAAGTTGAATAAAATTGGGTTTGGAGTGTTAGGTTTACAACAGCACTTGGCGTTGTCACTGCTGAAATATACTGGGTGTCTCCAAAAAAAAAGTATACAAGGTGTCTAGATTCTACTACATTTTGAAAATAAAATGTATTTTAATAAACACTGGCTTTATAATTACTCAAAGTTATGTATACAGTTTTGGGGGGACACCCTACCTATGTGTTAGCATTCTCAAAATATTTGTTATGTCAGTGTTCACCTTTAACTGTTTGTTTTTTTTTCTCTCAATCGTGATCCTTTTTCATATCTACCCTTACACTTCATAAACTTACAAAAAACATTCTTTGATAACCTTGTTATATCAAATCTTTCATTTTGCCAGTTAAGATACTCTCAAAAGAATCATTCTGAAAAAGAATCACATCTGTCTTAATAAGATATTGCTTTTTGTCTGCTTATTTTACTGTTTATTGTGGAAAATTACCAGCATACATAAAAATAGTGAGAATGGTATAGTGATGTATACCCATTATCCAGCTTCAACAGTTAACATCTCAAAGCCAATCTTATTTCTATCTCCACCCCACTTTGTGTGTGTGTGTGTGTGTTAAAGTACACTATTCCAAAGGAAATCATGACATCTAATCATTTCACTTGTAAATAGTTGAGTCTGTATTTCTAATAGATGAGGACTTATTAAAAAACAGAAACCTACCATTATCACACCTGTTTAAATTAACAATGATTCCTTTCTATGATGATGCTTTCTTAACATTTACATATTTTAGAATATTGTGATTACTAAGTACCAGAAGGGAGAAAGTAAAAATTGTGAGGTTCTAAAACATACGAAAGCCTTTTGAGTGGTAAGTTTATCTTTGAGAGAGAGAGGGAAGAATACTATAAAGGAATTTTTCTTAAAATTCTTTAATTGAAAACAGTTAAATCTTCAATCAAAATGTACTTGAGTAGCATAGTCAGGGTGGGTAGGAATGGATGCTTATCGGGTCCTGTAATTTCTAATGAGACTGAAGGAAAAAATTCTGCCTCCAAATATGTACATGGTAAGTACAGGGGTGGGCAAAAGTAGGTTATGTGTATAACTGTAAACCTACTTTTGCCAACCCCTATA